ACACAAGGAGGCCACTACCCGATAGATGCTGCTTAGGGGGTAAGAATAGCCCAGGTTGGATAGAAAAGCCAGTGAAGGGTCCAGTACTGCTGCCACCTAGCATCACCGAGGGGGACGGCTGTGGTGTTCCCCCCTCCGCTGTCACCAACATAGTCCTCAACGACTTCACCACTTGAACGAACGTAGGACGGTTCTGCTCATTCATAGAGGCACAGTTGAGTGCCAGCTCAGCCAGCTGCTTAGATACAGCAGGAGGGTAGCCGGCCCGAGGATCGACCATGGCCAAACACCTCATGAGGTCACCGTTAAGATGATTAACCAAGTATAGTATTTCCCCGGGCTTTGGACCAGGACAGGCCGGAGGGGCGTTGAGGAGGAGTTCTAGGAGTACCATACCAAAGGAGTACACCTCCGATGCCTCTGTCACGACACCACGCTGGATATAGTACCTACAAACCATGTTGAGAGTCGCAGTAGTGATAGACTACTACGGGCAGGCGTAGCCGATGGTCCCGCTGGCCTGCTTCACTTTATGAGACTGACTGTGGCTCAGACAAGCCAAACCAAAGTCGGCCATCTTAGCTGTCGAGTTGCGATCTAGTAGGATGTTAGGCGACTTAATATCTCTGTGGAATACCTATACACAATAGATGCCGAGCCCGGGAATCGAACCTGTGCCTCCTCACTTTGGGCTTAGCATTATGGAGATGGCTGAGCCCACATGCAGCGTCCAAGGCGATAGAGAGACGCTGTTGCCAAGGGAATGGTACGCCTAACGATATCGTCTGAGGATTCCCTCATAGAAGTCGACCTACCCTCCCTTGCACACTTCTGCAACCTCACACTGACATCTCCACCCGAGAGACACTCATACACAAGCAGCCGTTGGCTACCATTACGAGCGAATCCCATGAGGATGACCAAATTAGGATGACGGAACTTAGACAGTACTCGCACCTACGACAACAGCAGCAGTGGACCCGATTGGGAGTAGGGGCTTATGAGCCGACCTCGTCCTCAAACCCAGCCTCGTTAGGCAGGTCCACGACCTTGATAGCGACTTCAGTGCCGTCCTTGAGAGTGCCCTTGTAGACACTACCATAGCTACCCGACCCTAACTTGGCAGAATCGTCGAAGTTGTTGGTGGCTTCAATAAGCTCGGCATAGGAGTACTCCAGTGATATCTGATTAAGGTTACCTGAGGAATAAGGCTAGCTGCTGCTGCTGTCTGTTGCTGCCCATCGTACTATCCGAATGGTATCGTTTCTCATGTCCATTGGAAGTCCTCCCCCCTGTTGATGAGGAGGAGGAGGAGTCCTCTGCGACTGGCATTCGGCCGGACCCTTTGCCGTCGAGTCTTGGGGGGCTCTCCTGTACAGCTGGCAGGCTGTGGAAAGCATCCATTTACACGAGACTATTGCCTCCTGGCTGAGCAAGGACTCATACGCTGGAGAGCCGACGATCTCAGTGATGTGGGTTGAGGGATTCACAATAGGTTAGCTCTGACTTCCTTGCCGACCTACTTTGAATCTTGCACAGTCAACCTAAAGATA